GGGGATTACCAATAGACCTCTAAACTGTCTTCAAGAAGGCGCTGGACAGTACCTAAAGTCATTACCTGACCAGCCAGGCTGTAAGTTCGTTAGTCAGTTTGCTTTGCAGCCAGCAGTAACAGCCTGACTGATCAGACCCTGATCCCCCGAGGCCTGGTCTCAGCCCGGGCCGCGGGGGCTTGACCCGAAACCCTCCAGATATATATATATATATATTATATATATATATATATATATATAGTATATTTTCTTTCTTTCAACACATCGGCCGTATCCCACCAAGGCAGGGTGGCCCAAAAGGAAAAACGAAAGTTTCTCCTTTTACATTTAGTAATATACATATATATATATATTTTTTTTTTTTTCAACAAGTCCGGCCGTCTCCCACCGAGGCAGGGTGACCCAAAAAAGAAAGAAAATCCCCAAAAAGAAAATACTTTCATCATCATTCAACACTTTCACCACACTCACACATTATCACTGCTTTTGCAGAGGTGCTCAGAATACAACAGTTTAGAAGCATATTACGTATAAAGATACACAACATATCCCTCCAACTGCCAATATCCCAAACCCTCGTTTAAAGTGCAGGCATTGCACTTCCCATTTCCAGGACTCAAGTCCGACTATATGAAAATACCGGTTTCCCTGAATCCCTTCACTAAATATTACCCTGCTCACACTCCAACAGATCGTCAGGTCCCAAGTATCATTCGTCTCCATTCACTCCTATCTAACACGCTCATGCATATATAATATATATAATATATATATATATATATATATATAAAATATATATATATATATATATATATATATAATTTGTATGAGTATATGCATGCCACATAATACGACTGCTGCTTAGGGCGAGGATAAGATCCAACACCACCCCGGGTGGCCTCACTTGCATGTTAACCAAACAATTACGACTAATTAAGCCAGGGACATAGTGAGGGAGCCAAGCCAGCAGACACCGGACGACCAGCACCAGGGCCTTCCTGAGTTACGCCTGCCAAGCTTAACCACCAGGAACACAAGAACCTGCGGGAATACACACACACACACACACATTTACAGTGGAAACCAGTAGGACTCCAAGAAATCAGAACAGGGGGGCACACCAGCAAGTGCTGGATGACGTACATATAACCAAGGACGAGGTGAAGAAGCTGCTATGCGAACTTGACACCTCAAAGGCGGTGGGACCAGACAACATCTCTCCATGGGTCCTTAAAGGAGGGGTTTGGGATATTGGCAGTTTGGAGGGATATGTTGTATATCTTTATATGTGTATGCTTCTAAACTGTTGTATTCTGAGCACCTCTGCAAAAACAGTGATAATGTGTGAGTGTGGTGAAAGTGTTGAATGATGATGAAAGTATTTTCTTTTTGGAGATTTTCTTTCTTTTTTGGGTCACCCTGCCTCGGTGGGAGATGGCCGACTTGTTGAGAAAAAAAAACAAAAAAAAAAAACAAGAACAGTTACCATTTTGCACAGAGTAGTTTGAAGTCTCAGTCTGAGGCTAACTTGTTTAACGGTGCCCCAAGGAGAGACAATGTAAACAGTCTCAAGGAGAGACAATGTAAACAGTCTCATGGAGAGACAATGTAAACAGTCTCAAGGAGAGACAATGTAAACAGTCTCAAGGAGAGACAATGTAAACAGTCTCAAGGAGAGACAATGTAAACAGTCTCAAGGAGAGACAATGTAAACAGTCTCAAGGAGAGACAATGTAAACAGTCTCAAGGAGAGACAATGTAAACAGTCTCATGGAGAGACAATGTAAACAGTCTCAAGGAGAGACAATGTAAACAGTCTCAAGGAGAGACAATGTAAACAGTCTCAAGGAGAGACAATGTAAACAGTCTCAAGGAGAGACAATGTAAACAGTCTCAAGGAGAGACAATGTAAACAGTCTCAAGGAGAGACAATGTAAACAGTCTCAAGGAGAGACAATGTAAACAGTCTCAAGGAGAGACAATGTAAACAGTCTCAAGGAGAGACAATGTAAACAGTCTCAAGGAGAGACAATGTAAACAGTCTCAAGGAGAGACAATGTAAACAGTCTCAAGGAGAGACAATGTAAACAGTCTCAAGGAGAGACAATGTAAACAGTCTCAAGGAGAGACAATGTAAACAGTCTCAAGGAGAGACAATGTAAACAGTCTCAAGGAGAGACAATGTAAACAGTCTCAAGGAGAGACAATGTAAACAGTCTCAAGGAGAGACAATGTAAACAGTCTCAAGGAGAGACAATGTAAACAGTCTCAAGGAGAGACAATGTAAACAGTCTCAAGGAGAGACAATGTAAACAGTCTCAAGGAGAGACAATGTAAACAGTCTCAAGGAGAGACAATGTAAACAGTCTCAAGGAGAGACAATGTAAACAGTCTCAAGGAGAGACAATGTAAACAGTCTCAAGGAGAGACAATGTAAACAGTCTCAAGGAGAGACAATGTAAACAGTCTCAAGGAGAGACAATGTAACAGTCTCAAGGAGAGACAATGTAAACAGTCTCAAGGAGAGACATGTAAACAGTCTCAAGGAGAGACAATGTAAACAGTCTCAAGGAGAGACAATGTAAACAGTCTCAAGGAGAGACAATGTAAACAGTCTCAAGGAGAGACAATGTAAACAGTCTCAAGGAGAGACAATGTAAACAGTCTCAAGGAGAGACAATGTAAACAGTCTCAAGGAGAGACAATGTAAACAGTCTCAAGGAGAGACAATGTAAACAGTCTGAGGCTAACTTGTTTAACGGTGCCCCAAGGAGAGACAATGTAAACAGTCTCAAGGAGAGACAATGTAAACAGTCTCAAGGAGAGACAATGTAAACAGTCTCAAGGAGAGACAATGTAAACAGTCTCAAGGAGAGACAATGTAAACAGTCTCAAGGAGAGACAATGTAAACAGTCTCATGGAGAGACAATTGTAAACAGTCTCAAGGAGAGACAATGTAAACAGTCTCAAGGAGAGACAATGTAAACTCTGGAGAGACAATGTAAACAGTCTCAAGAGAGACAATGTAAACAGTCTCAAGAGAGACAATGTAAACAGTCTCAAGGAGAGACAATGTAATACAGTCTCAAGGAGAGACAATGTAAACAGTCTCAAGGAAGAATGTACCATTAATGAACTAGTCTAAGAGAAATGTTACAGTCTCAAGGAGACAATGTAAACTTCAAGGAGAACAATGTAACGTCTCAAGGAGAACAATGTATACATCCAAGGAGAGACAACGTCAACAGTTCAAGGAAGTGATCATGTAAACAGTCTCAGGGAGACTGTAAACAGTCTCAGGAGAGACAATGTAAACAGTCTCAAGGAGGCAATCAAACAGTTCAGGAGGACATGTAAACAGTCTCAAGGGGAACAATTAATTGTCTCGAGACTAATGTAAACGTTCAAGAAATTAACAGTCTATGGAGGCAATGTAACAGTCTAGAGAGACAATGTAAACAGTCTAAGGAGACGGCTATGAAACAGTCTAAGTGAGAGGGCAATTAAACAAGCATGAATAATAATTATATAATTATTATTCTAAAACAAATGAAAATTAATGTAGCGTAAAATTGAACGTGTACATACACAAAATATTAAACTGATTTTATAACTATGCTATTATAAGTTCTAGGTTTTATAATTATCCCCTCTTATATAACATTGTTTCCTTTAAGTGCAATGTTAACAGCTCTTAGCCAAATGGGAGAGGGTCAGTAGTCTCTGTTAGGCTGAAGAAAGTCTTCTCAAGCATCATGACTGCTTTTCCACAGCTTTTTCTTATAGTCTCACATAACCTGTAAAAAATTATATATTATTATAATCAACTAAGCACTAAAAACCTGAAAGAGAATAAATCCATATATGGAGAGTTGATACAAAATAGACTAAACAATGGAAGGGATTCACACAAAGCAGTACAGGTAGGACTCCCATACTGCGGATTCAGTTTCATCACCAGGGTTTTTGTATTCCACTCTTACTGCCATTCCCTAAAATTAAGCTTAATATGTTACTTAAGTTAATGCGCCCAAAGCAAAAAGAATGTAGAAAAGTGCAGAAAATCTATAACAGCCATGAAGTGGGCTCCCATCAGTTAAAAAAAAAGTGTAATTCTCCATCTTTTTTATTTTTTTTTTTTTTTTCCACATTAGTACATGTAACTGAAAAGCATCCATATTTAAGTGGTAGAGTTTCGCTGGCTCCATTTGTGAAATTCCAACCTTTCAGCAAGTTTTATTTATAAGCTAAAATTTATGTCATTGGTTTCATGAATTAGACTAATGTGATAGACGATTGTTGCGGTAGTCGCAATCACCCGACTATCAAAAGCAGCACTGCACCAATTAATGTGCACATAGGGTTCACCAGCACGTGACCTTTCACCCACGGTTTTTACATCTTGCATACTAAAATATCCATTATTTTTTGTCTTACAACTGCTAAAGATAAGTAACCTTATAACCATTCATAACAAGTTAATGCAACTGGTTCCTCATCAAACCTTCTAGGAAGTTACTGATGGTCACTGGTTATTATCCTTAAATTCCTCACCTAGCACTCTTTCTTGCCAGGATAAAAAAATGTTATTCACTTTCCCTTCAAGGCCTTGTTCTCTATCCGTCATACTTTTCACATTTTATTTTTCAACGTCTCATTCATTTTTTACCGTTTTCTTGCGTTCTTTCTCAAACTTTGGGTTTTTCCTCTAAATCCCTTCATAGCGCTTTGCTTACACTCTAACACAGTCATCCCAAAACACACACTGCTTGATGCTTATTTCCTAATTTTTCCACTTAAAACCATCAAACCGCCTTCCTCCAACCCTTGCTGAAACTAAATCAAGATAACTTCTTTCTTTCCTTAGATCACTTTATGCGATTGGTGTCTTATCATTAGATTCTTCAAGCCTTGGTGCACTGTCTCTACTTTGCTAAGCTTAAAAGGAGATTGATGTTGAAAGAAACATGAAACAGAATGACTGAAGTTCTATTCTCACCTGAGCCCAAAAAGGTCTTGTTAGAATAGACCCCAACTTGATACACTGCTTGAATAGTGTTTTTTCCAGATTGAAGCATTAGTCTTGATTCAGGCTCTGCATAGCCACTTCGAGCCAGAATATCCTTAAGCAGCTCCAGTGGCTGTTCAATCTGAAATCAAAAGGTAAATATTTTTTCAGTATAGTATGCTGAATTTTGCATCATTGATACTTGTAAGACAGAATGAATGCTCTCTTTATATTGTAAAATTAATGAAAAGAAGTTTGAAAGTGTGAAATGTTATTATTATTATTATTATTGCAGTGGCATTCATAAATTGTACAGGTTATGTTCCTGAAACCTGCACTACCAATGATTTACATGAGTTATGCAGTAAAAACAAATGGGAAAAATAAGGTTGTGCCTCTCACCCCCTCTGAAAAACTCAAAAAAAATTTTTACTATCACAATTCTTTCAAAAAAACTTTTTCTAATTAATTTTATTAATGAGGATCGTCTGTGAAATACCTGAATTTTAGTAACTATAAAAATGGTTACATTAATATTGTATAGTATTTGTTACTTGCAATGTGAACAGACTGACTGATATAGTAACCAGGGTTAGGCTAGGTTACAAGTACTTCTGGCCGTCTGGCAGACAAACACAAGATGATCAAACCAAATGCAAAGTATATGGCCAGCCCTATCTTGAACACGTGCTTAATTGCCCAGCTATTGATGAATACAGAGGACAGTATAATAACCTGTGATATGTCAAGATAACTTCTTTTCATTAATAATATATATGTACCAGACATATCAAACAAATTTCTTTGCAAAAGATAAGTGAAGTGTACATATAAATCCAGATGTACTTCTGTATACCCTTTTGGGGCCTAGTTCCTAGGCCTTTTGTGTATCCATATGCTCTCATGCTACTGTCCAAGTTGGTGATGCTTAACATCTTGAACTGAGTGGAGAAGGTGGCTGTGGTCCTACTAGGTCAAGGTTGATGGCTCATTATGTGATGTTGAAGGTTGGGAGATCTTGTGATGCTGATCAGTTTCATCAGTTGGTTGCTGCAGTCAAGTCTCAGGTATTCTGCCATATGCTGCTGGTTTGTTTTACACTGCACTGTTTCATACATTAGACAATAAGGTACTTTATAGCAATGCTTCAAGATGAGTCATGGTCCTTTTCAAGTATGCAGCTTTGCAAATAGTGTGCAGCAACTCAGGTATCTCCTGCAGTCAACATTGGTCATTCAGGCTCAGGTTCTTCATCTCATATTTTCTCTCCATCTGAGAATTTAATTCCTGTAATATTTCCTCTGCAATTGGTTCCTCATCACCACCTTTTAGGAGTTCATTGATGTCATCTGGCTATATATATTTAAATCCCTCACCTGGTACTCTTCTTGCCAGATCAAAAATTTCCTGAACTTGTTTTCTACTGATGGAAAACCTGTAAAATCATTCACTACACTAGGCAATATTTTTCTTCAATCAGCATTTTTTGCTAATTTTGGTATATGATCCTACAGTACTACTTTTTTGACACAGGGGAGTGTTTCTGCAATTTTAAATTTGTGCCATAACTCTGGCACTAAACTGTTCATTTCTTCAATTGCTGCAATTAGCTTCTGCACCACAATGTGTGTGCAGTGGCACTTACATGGTTTGATAACTCCTCAATCCAGTGGTTGTATCAAGGATGTCATATTTGGTAAAAAAAAGGCAATCTTACACCAGGCTCCACATCCTCCAGGAGTTCAAGATCTTTATTTCTTTCTATGCACCAGCCGTATCCCACCGAGGCGGGGTGGCCCAGAAGGAAAAACGAAAGTTTCTCCTTTTTACACTTAGCATATATACAGGGGGAAAGGGTTACTAGCCCCTTGTTTCCGGCTTTTTAGTGCCTCTTATGACACACATGGCTTTGGAGGAAGAATTCTGTTCCACTTCCCCATGGAGATGACTACAACAATTATCAAGAATGAGAAGAAACCCTGAATGCAGATTTTGAAGTGACAGGTACATCTTCACTTCGGGAAATAAAAGTGATGGTGAACCATTCCATGAAAAAGGCCTCAGTAAACCCATTCTAGGGCGTTGGACTTCCAAGTAACAAGCAACACGTTTTTGTCTTTATCTTGTAAAGCACAGAAATTTTTGGGAGCAATAAACAAGCATGGGCTCACATTTAAAGTCACCTGATGCATTACCACAAAGAAACAGACTAAAACAGTCTTTTACAGTCTTGAATCCAGGAGCATTTTCTCTTGCTTACCGAGTGTTCTAAAATGGCATGTTCTTCCCAGAGCAAACCTGTCTCATCAACATTAATACCTGCTCCGGTTTAAAAGCCACTCTCAGAGATAATTTTGCGGGCTAGGTGGGAGCTTTTGCTGCAGCAGCATGGTGGGAAAGGTAAGATACTTAAACTCAAGATTAACAATAAATTTTGAAATTATTGAAGGCCAATAACTTTCATACTAAACAGAACATTTTGTTTTTGAAAAAAAAAAAAAATCATTCTTTGTTATTGTTACCCCTGGGAGAAGATTATCCTGTCGCATATTGGGGATTAGATTGTACAAATGTACATGTGAAATTTTGAAGAGAATCAGTAAACTTCTAAAGCAATATAAACATTTTCAAAACAGAGTAAAATTTCATATTTAAAATAAACCAACAGCACTGATACACTTAATGACTTTCAGAGACATTGTCTGGAAACTAGAGTGGTTAATAACACTCTCAACCCTTTTCTCAAAAATTATGGCAAATTTATTAAAAAATGAAGTACTATTTTTTATAGTATGGTAACCTGAATCTGTGCATATCAGTTTTGTAAAATTTATGAACTGCCTTTATAGCATAGCACATGATGTATCATGCTTGAAGGAAAATGACTGAAAATTACTAACCTGCCATATCTCGCGGGGATCCTTTCCTACTATCGGGAGTGACAACGAAGTCTCGAACAAAGACCTGGCAGCGACCAAGTCCTGCTGAACATTTAATGTCCCCACCCTGCTTGAAAACTCTTTGCTGCTGTTAGGGATGAGGGAGGGTACTCCTGCCAAGAAATGTGATAGCAAACTGAATTAATAACTGGCTTTAATATTCTTTTCAAGGTATAAAACAGTTGGCATAAATACTGTAAAGAATTTGTGGTTTCATATATTTCACAAAATTTTAAAAGTTTAATGCAGACTTAACCCTTAAACTGTCCAAACGTAGATCTACGTTGATGTGCGTAGCACTCTGGAAGTACATCTATGTCCAATTTTACATGCTTTCTTATGTAAAAAAATGAAGATTTACGATTGGAGCGCTATGCACCTCACTGGGATCTACATTTGGACATTTTAAAGGGGTTAAAAAAGTTGGTCAAACCTCTTTCTGTCATGCCCTGAGATCACAGTCATCCTACTGACTGGTCTTTGCTAAAACTGTCTACCCTATGTCTTACTTTCACAGTGGCCATTTGGTTAAATTTCCTCCCTTATACACAACTTTCCTTGTATGAATCTTAGTTCTGGCTTTGTCTCTGTAGATGCCTTCCTTTCCATTACACTGTAAATCCTCCAAACTTCAGAACACACGTGACTTAAACCTAATGCTTTTTTCCCCCTTATCTCTTCCCCTTTCCTCTTTCTCCTCGAGTTTTCTTTCTTCTGCCTTGGGAAATTTGGTCCATTAATATTCCCCCCCCTCTGTGTTCTTGCTCCTACCCTTTGTGGGCCCCTAGCCCCCTTGCTGTGCTTCTCTTTCTTAGTCTTTGACTGACTCTACTACTACTACTACCACCACTACCACCTCTACCACTACTTTTCTTCATTTCCTACTACCTCCCTTGTCCCGTCCCTGTCTGTGGCCTATATATACTCCTCCTCCCTCCTTTTTTGTTAGTTTTGACTTTGTAAATGGCCCAAGTTGGACCAAAACGTCGTTGTAAGCTCCTCTCTCCTATGTGTGAGTTATCTGTGCATTAGTCAAACCTTTGCTGATCACAATGATTACCTTCAATAAAAGCCCAATGAACATAAATTTGGAAATGGAATTCATTGAAATGCAGATGGAGCTGCAGAAGTCTCCTACTTTAGAGATCACTTTTAGCAATTAATAAATATTTAAAGAACTTCAGGCTCATCTACTTTGAATTATAAGGTTGAGGTTTATGTTGTTTGAGAGTGAGTGTCGCATTCGGGAAACGTAAAACTACAAACTGCAGCAGTTAGTTTCAAAGCTCTCATAAGTGTGACAGCTCCTCTCCAGTAGATGACAAGCTGCTGTACTGATTGGTCACTGCTGAAAATGTCAAAACTTCAATCTCTAAATCTTTAGTAAAAAAATGTTTCATATAGCTCTGAGTAGAAACAATTTCTAAAAATTTTAATTTTTTTTAGAATGGAATTGCAAGGGGAGTCTAGAATTACAGAAGATTGTGTGTAAGTCTTTGTGCACCCCAGGATTTTCTAAAACACAATTTGAGAATAAGGTGAAAAAAAAATAAATCTGCTTAGATTGTTTACAGCACTGGCATGTTTTAGTTAAAAACCTGCACAATTGATATGAGTCCAAAAATGCGACGTATTACTGTATTGAGAGAAAAGAATTTTGTAAGGGAAAAAACTCATAACATTAACAAAAAATTGAAAGACTTTATGGCAGTGAGAAGGAACATCTAGTTTCATGAACAATTTACTGATGCTTATGTAATAAAAATATGCTGCACAGCAATTTTATTATTTTAACTTCCTCAGGTTTTTAATAAAGACGTTCTTATACAGTGGACCCCCGCATAACGATTACCTCCGAATGCGACCAATTATGTAAGTGTATTTATGTAAGTGCATTTGTACGTGTATGTTTGGGGGTCTGAAATGGACTAATCTATTTCACAATATTTCTTATGGGAACAAATTCGGTCAGTACTGGCACCTGAACATACTTCTGGAGTGAAAAAATATCGTTAACCGGGGGTCCACTGTATAAGGGAGATAACAATAATGAAGTATGACAAAAATCTACAATCATTCATTTTCCCTCACCTGGCAAAGAATGAGATCCTTGAGCCCAATGCCAAACCCAATTTCAGACGTAATTTTCTCCGATGATAAATACTCAACTAACGCTCTGAAAAAATAAAAAACTTATCAAACA